ACTTAGTGTTCAGATGCATTAGTACACAGTGAGTTCTGTAATAATGGGAGTCACAAAGGCAAGGATAGATGTCTGCATATGAATTTCTGAATTCCTATGATGGGAACAGGGAGATTCTCAGATATGTCAGGACACTCTTATTCTTGTTGACAATAACTCTATTATATAATAATCTTTCTGATTCTGTATGTATGTATTCACTCTATCAGGTATGATAGTCTATGATTTAGCCAGGAATTTGCTGTTACAATTTAAAATTAATGGATTTTATACGTACTTTCCTAATTATTGAACATTCCTGTTGTCTAGTAATAACATGGGATTTTTATCCTACAGACTATCTCAGGATCAGCCTCACTGATTTAAGCACTCAGAAACTAATTTCACATAGTGGAAATGAGACTTCAGGCAACTTGCTCACATTTCTGCAGGACATACCAGATGAGGATTGACATAGAGAAATCCAAAATCCTGGCTTCCAGTTTTGAGTGTTAACAGCATGACCATTCTCCTCCCAGCAATTGCATTAATTTTCTCATTTAGAATAAGAATGTAATATTCATTTTTTCTCCAAACATTCCTGGACTTCTGAACTGCTGTGTTATTGAGCTAAGTATATATAGCTTTTGCTAATGAGGTGTGTGTGGGTAACATTAAAAAATGAATATCAAGCTTATGTGCTGAAAATGAACTCTGACTTCAGTTTACAATGGCATTTAATCTATATGCTTCCCCCTTATCTTTGAAATGAAGTACTTAATTTTGTGAAATTAATGTCATAGCTTCATAAATAAGTTACATGGATGATACTTGAAAGCACTGCACAAGAAATGATCTTCCTCTTTTCTCAGCCAATGGAAGCATGGACATAGTTTAAATCTCTTTACGTTTCATCCTTACAGTGATGATGAATTTCTGTCCCGTTTTTGTGTTTCTTGGGCTGTTTCTAGTAGGCTAGGGAAATTTCTCAAGAAATGACCAGTAGCATGTAAGTTGGATTATATTTTTGTACATCGAGGTCAGTAGGACAAGTGATATCTGCAATGCCGTTCTAATAATGTCATTAGTACTTAGTGTACATAGCAAATCTGTGTGTGATTTCATTGAGGTTCATTGAAATTGACAGATTTCTGGTAACGTTGTACAGTGTGAATGAGATGGTTAAACTCAAAGAATTTTCTGCTAAGCTACAGGACATTGTTGGTGTGCTGAGGTAGAGAATTGCATTTGTGCTGTCCTCATACAGATTCTGAAATAAAGCTGAAAGTAATGACATGTTAATGTAACGGGGTGGGGAGGAAGCTGGTGTTAAATAATTGCTGTGTCAACACATTGCTCTTGATGCAAGCATGGGAATACTCCTTGAGTATAGTTAGAAATGACATGTTTAGTGTGAGAACTATTTCAGTTATAGTACACAGTGGGGGGTAGAAAAAGGAACAGCATCTAATTTTGTATCATTTTGAAAACTATTTCCTTTGCCAAATTGTACTTCTATATGGTTTTCTAGAGACCAATTTTTGCACAGTATCTGGAGGAATAATTTGCTACATTTCTTCAGCTGTTCATTACTTCCTGTAAATTTCCCCCCCCCCCCCCCCATAGCTGAAAGGGTTCATTTTGGAAACACAGTTTAAATAAGTTTGTGGTTCTGGAATTTTCTAGCTTTACCGCAAAAAATATGTATAAGTCATTTTGAAGTGTGATATACTTCAGTTGCTTTTATTTTGTATGAGTTGTTTAAAAAAACTGTGTCGGAAAGAGTAAGGTTCCAACTTCAGCATGATGTCAAGCCTCACCAAGCAAAGAAGTTTAGGGCTGCAGTTAGTGCCAGCTGGAAAAACTCTGAGAGACCCTATTCATGTCAGAAAGCTCTCTTCTATTAACCAGGTTCCTGAAGCTATAGAAAATTGAAAATGTTTCCACAATGTTTGTTTGTGCAAACCAAAAATACCTTAGTTTTCATTCAAATTGGTTTTATTTTGGAAACCTAACAAAAATTAACAAATTGCATGATATTGATTGTTGTGTAGATAAACAGTTAAAAGAAACCTTTGTATCTACAAGCATATGTATAAGAACAGGAACAATTTGAAAATGCTTCAGATGCTGCTTTGAGTGTTTCAGTTTTATTTGAGAACAAAAATTAAATAAACTTGGAGAATCAATTATGAGATAAAATTTGTTCTCACCATTTGAGGCTGAATGCGTGTACTACTATGCAGTGACATCTCCAGTGTTGTCTTAAGTACATCTCAAAAGAATTTTTGTATAATTAAATTAGATCCTCTAATGGATAAAACCCTAATTTCTGAAGAAAACTGGGCTAGGTTGCTCAAGCAGAAGTTATTGCTGTCACGTGTTTTTACAATTGTGTGTGTGTGTGTATATATATCTGTTGTACCTATGCAGAATATAAACTGCACAGATATAAAGCATGTGTAATGTCTCATTTCTGTAATGTAGCTGGTTTAATATGTCAGTTGCAGTGTTGTTTAGGGAGTGTCTGGTAAATAGAGCCATAAATGTTGCTTACAACGAGAAATGTAAAACTGAAGCAGTTGTACTGTAGCAAGGAAGAATATAATTTGTGAATGCTGCATGGGATTTAATCAAACCGTATGCTTTATGTATGTTCAGATGCTATCAGAGGTAGGATGTGCTTTAGGCTGAGAAACAAGAGAAAAAGCATGGTCTGTTAGAGGCAGCCATGGCTGAAAGGAATTAGAAGGATTCTGAGAAACTTGTTACAGCACTGGTGAAAGCACCAGTGCTGCAATGTTGGGAGCAGTTATCTACTAACCAGTGGCAGGGCTGTGATGCTGAGGGGGATTTTTGTGATAGCTCTTGAAGAAGAAACTCTGCTAACTTGGGTGCTCTGTATCTGCTGTTCTGTAACTTACCTGGTTTGTGGGGACAAAGCCAGGCCTAAGGTAACATTGCTTAGCTGTAGAGTAAGAAGCTGTACTTTACAGTGTTAACTGGAAAGCCTTTGTTTTGCCATGGTGTTTGCAGTGGAGTCAATAACTGCCCTGTGTGCATGCAATAGGTGCATGTTCACTTCCTTTTACTGTGGCATTTGTTGTGGAATTATTTAATAACCATGTAAAATTGTTCCTTCAAATGTTTATTAGAAATAACATAGTCATGTTTGTGTAGTCATCATCAGTATAGGTATATGTTCTGCTTCCTTCTCAGAAACAAACAAAAACGAACCAAGAAAAAAACAATTAAAACAGTCCCCCCAAAGTACCTACAGGAAAAAAAAAAACAAAACCAGACACAAACAAAAACAGCAAAACCAAATACACACGCACAAGTAATTTTGGTTAAAACAAACAAACGCTATTTTCTAAGATTAGAAACAGAAATATGTTTTAAGATATTTCACTAGGTAAAGTTTCTTGTATACTTAAATTTTACTTGGATATAAAAATCATCTTACTGGAGAAGCTATAGTTTGCAGCATCTTGCATACTACGTTTTTTTCTCAGCTGTGAGGCTTTGCTTTATGGAGCTAAACTAAAAAAAAAAAGAAGAATCAAGGGAGAGAATGAATCTTTTCAATTGAGATTTGCACAGAGATGACAGGTGAATGAGGTGGAGAGGTAACAGCTGTTCCAGATGGCAGCAGATTCAGGAGGAAAATGTTTGAGTCAAAGCAGTCAGACTGTATGAAGAGATGCTCATGTGTAGAATGAGTGGTGCTGGCAGGGAGATGGGTGTTGGAGGTCAGTGGAATAAATACGATAAATAATGCATATGAAGTTAACTTCTCTTAAAGTAGCCATTGCCTGTGAATCAATCATGTCCCACACCACTGTAAATATTTTTCATGAGATCATCAGTAATCACTATTATATGTACCCTTTGGCTGCCTCATCACATGTGCTCTTAGTTCAGTTTTGTGTTGACAGTGGATGCTCAAGAATAAATAAGCCTGAAAACAAATTTCAAAAAAATAGCGAAAATTTTCAAATGTTTGCTTTTGAAGAATCCTTTCATCTCTTTAATCTACATAAATGAAAGTCTTAGAGGTACTTGAATGCTTCACAGACCCAATTTGAAGCTTTAAACAGTAAATCATTCTTCGTAGGACTGTCATGCTGCGATTTGAGCCATCTCTGCTTAAATAGTTAATATAAGAAACTAATATAAAATAATAGAAATTTAGTGATGCTGAAAGTAACACAGTTTAAAGAAAGTGGAAAACAGCACCCTCTAGCCTGGGTGTTCTTTTTCAAAATACCTGAAGAATTGGCCATGCAAGCTTTGGAAACCTTTATGCTGCCAACTCCTCCTGTGTTTAATGGTTTCCTGTTGAAGATGCTTTGCTTGAAGGTTTTGGGAAAAAGGCAGAACAGTCACTTTCTGTCATATTCATAGAGGGAGAAATAACTTGAATTAATTAAAATTTACTGAGAGATGGTTAGCTGGAGTGGTTCTTTTATAAATCTGATAGACATTAGACCTGAAATAGTTTATCAGCTGCTGACCTGTCTATTGATCGCTGCTGTCAATTCTAACTCATATTCCCAGTACAATTTTTGAATTATTTTCACTTTATTTGGACTTCATTTCTTTTGTATTTTTCTTTTAATGATCACTAAATATAATGTGCAACTGATAACTTAGCCCATTCTGTTCATTTGTGTATTAAATAGTGCTTTTGGAAAGGTAATTAGTTCTCATTTCTTGGCCATGTTTCTCCACAGATGATTTTTTTGTCTAAATAAAGATTCCCACTATTTCTAGCTGGAGTAAATGCTTGTCTTTAATTTTAACCCTAAACTTTTTCAAAATAGAAAGTCTCTATTTTTTGATGTGGCTTCTGGGTTCTGTGTTTTGAGAACTGCTCATCAGGGGTGAGCGAAGGGGTGAAGTTACAGTATAAAATACGACTTGAGTGGTTATGATTAACACTTTGAAATGTATGTGAAATGTGCAACCTCAATTTTCTTTTTTTCTTTTTTTCTTTGTTCTTTTTCTTCATTTCCCAGGAGCAATTTTTGATGAATCTGCTAAAAAAGATGAGGAAGTTTTTCGAATGGCAGTTGCTGATCTCAACCAGAATGATGAAATCTTACAAACAGAGAAAATCACATGTTCAGTGACATTTGTGGATGGCAACAATCCATTTCAGGCAGTTCAAGAAGGTAGGATGTAATTTTTTTTTTGTCTTTTTCCATAGAATATCAAATGCTGCCTTTGGTTTTGAATTTAGCTGGTATGGTTTGTGCTGGTCTAGTGACTTCAGGCTGTAAACTTCATTTCATATCTGTTTTTCTGTCAAGGCTACTGAAAAATGGTACATCACTTATCCTACATCTTCACTCTTTTTCAGGCTGTTTTGCAGTTGTTGTCATACAGATAGTATTAAGAGGGCATGAAGTACTATTTCTTGGTTTAATCTCATGAGGATACCAGCTTACTTAGTTGGATAATATAGGTTGCCATGTGTCTAACCTTTCAGCACATTCAGTTGAAAAAGTTACCTGTTTTATAGGAGGGATTGGAGATAACCTGATGACTCAGAGAGTCACCCATGTCCAACATGATTTTGTACTCACTCTATCATGTTCAGTTTCCCAGTTACGGCGCAAGTGATGAGGACACTGCTTTGGGCTCTTGTAATAGATGTAGGATGATAGCAGGATTCAATATTTGAAATCCCTCTGAGCTGGTGTGACTGAGCGATTGTCTGGAAAGACAGCTATACGAAGTTGTGAGATGTATGGATTTGAATTCCCAAGTGTTTGTATTTCTTTGCCATTCTAGCACTATAATCTTTTTCTGAGTTGCAGAGCATACGTTTATTTTAGGTATATTATTAAACTTAAGTTAAAAAGAAAACAAAATATCGATGGCTTTCTGAATCCTTATTGACCACTTTGGATTGACAGTTCACATAGAACTTAAGATTTATGTAGTTAATTTTCAAACAGTTGATGCAATATCTGAGAATTTAAAAGTTAAATGCCATTTGTTTTCAATGGGCTTTTGACAATGCAGTGTTAATAGGAGGATACCCAATTCTTGTGGTTTTTCTGTCAACAGAATACTGAATTTACGAAATTTTAGGAATTTTTGGTTTAGCTTAAATTGTGAAATTGTGGGGTTTTTATGGCTGCAACTTTTGAAATTAATTCAATTTGGATCAAAAAAGATAGATATAAAAGCCATTAGATAGGTGTAGAATCTATAGGGTTGGGAAGTGGCCAAGTGAGGTCAATCCTTTTAGAAACTTTCTTTACTGTTAGTATTTAAGTGTTTTTCCAGTTGGTGCAGGATTAACAATATTAAATGATGCTCTCTGATTAACACCAATTAATGCTGATGCTTAACCCTTTCCTATATCAATGAGACAGAGGAGTTCCTAATTGTTATATAGAACTGAGTTTTAAGAAAAACATTGAATTCTTAAAGGAAAAAGGATTGTCTAGAAAATTAAAGCTTATCAAATTAGTTGATGACCTTATACTTAAATATTCAATTTTTTTTTGCACAACAATTACATATGTAATTTTAAAAATAATATAGTCAGTACCTGAAATATGAATGGAGTTGATTTGACAAAAATTTGAATGCCATGTGTCAAGGGGAAGAGGTCTGTTGTGTTATGCAAGAATTCAAGAAATTCCTTGGTAGTAAGAACTGTTTCTTGTCAGTGTGTGGTTGAATAAAACTGCATGGCCAGTAAAGCCTTATATAATTCTAGTGAAGAACAGCAGTTTCAACTTTGATACGCATTTATCTGGAAATTTTTTTCCTGGTCTATTTTTATACAGTTAAAATTTGCTTTTCATTAGTTGAAACTGAATATAAACATAGGTTGTACTGTATTGTTTCCATTACTTTACACCAGGTTTCTTCCGTCTCCCTTTTCTCCACATCCTTATGTCACTTGTATCCTGTTCTTAATGGAATTCTTACAAGCATTAATAGAAGGGGAGAGGATCTCTGTGACATTACCACATATGTCATATCTTTTACCTTGGTGATGGTTGTGGAGTTAGAAGAGCAGTAAGAATGAACCATTTTAAGCAAAAAGGCACAGGTCCTATATGAGTAGTAGTATGCTTAGCAATACCATATACACCTAAATGCTTAGACTTACGTATTCACTGTGTAAAAAGTAACAGAATGAGGCAAAGTTTCCTGGTATTAAACTTGTTTCGCATTCAGTATATCCAAACTTCCATTTCCATGCCAGTGTAGCTTTTCCTTAGGCGACACAGCAGTACTGAAGTGCTGATATCAGTAGAAGGTATCATGTACTCTCCTAACTAATACAGCCTAGAGTACAAAAATTATACTGTGGCACACTGCCTGAAATTTGCTTTATTTGAACTCATAATAGCTGTTTTTTTGTCTTTGAGTTTATTTTTAATCTTGTTGAAAATATAAAGACTTTTATAAAACTAAAAAAACCAACCTTGACATTTGGCAAAATGATTATTTAAATCATTAAATACCAAAAACTTAAAATTCACCTAAAATGGTCTAAAGTATACCATTTCTAGTAACTGGCTCAGATTTTGATTTTCAAAAACCAGGAAGTCATGAGTAAAGAACTGATAAAATGTGATTTAATTTGCAGAGAAGATTTTTAGAAATGTATTCACTCATGGACCGCATGTATTATTTCTCTTTTATTTAATTTTATTAGCAACATTAGCAAGTGACTTCCGAATGAAGTAAACAGGAGCACTCAGATAATTTGTATTGATTCTTGGATGTAAAGATAATTAATTTGATGGGACTGGCTGGAGCACAGTACTTACTGTTCTTGATTAATCTGTTTGTATAAATTATTATGGTGCCCTGAAATGTCTTCCGATTGTACCTGAGGGCATCTCATTAACAGTTCTGATTGGACCGATGAAATTATATGGCAAAGCTGAGTGGTTTTATCCCAGAAGAGCAGTGAATGACATGCCCCATAATATCACTTGAAGTGCCCTCGGGGATGATTTATAGTCATGTGATAGAGCACAGACATAGAAGATGAAATTGATTTTCTTTAAGTTAGTGGAATTTTCCTCCCCTTTGGTTTATGCTGTGTCAGAAAGGAGCAACAGTGAGTGTGATGGGCGCAATTTTATAGCGTGACTTATGTTGACATGTCAGCATGATAGGGCAGTATGGACAATTCATCAGGATGCATTCAGGAGAGGAAGGAGTGCTGTGGGGGGGGGGGGGGGGGGGAGCGTAAGACCAGAACAGTCAGGTTGAGGGATCAGCCAGCACATGGAGCTTTAGCAGGATGAGCATGGGTTTGCAGAGGAATATGGCCAAGAGCCAAGTAGATGGCACACGCCAGTCCAGATCAAGGTAGCTGCCATCTAGCTGCTGAAACACATATGTACCTGTGAAAATAGTGTGGTGTTTTCTCCCTTTCTTTCTTCACTACAAAACACTTGACTGCATTTATAATGCTCTTTTTTCAGGTATGCTCTCAAAATGTTAGTGTGCTGGCATGAGCAAGAAAGGAAGGATATTGTCTGGCTTTTTTATGTTGTGCCTAAGTTGGGTGCTATGAAGTGAAAGCAGGAACTACTGTTAATATTGTGTAGATACTAAGGAAAGTAGTGATAGCCAGTTATTGCATGGCACCAAGTTAATATTGTAAGCACTGTGAACAGGGAATTACGATACATACTAGTGGCGATCATAAAATATATACTATAATACTATAGACTTTCCTTCTTGTGGGACTTGAATTTACAGCAGCATTTAAATAGGAGTGGGATAGGCATTCTACAATATATTTAAACTGTAACTACTTTTGGAAGGTGACATGCTTGTATATTTCTTTTTAATAAACTGGGTTGTTATTTTGCTTTTACCTTTTAGTTTTTACAGGGAATTTTTGTAAAAATAAATACATCACTTCTCTCATTTGTCAGGAAATCACTGTTTTTCCATAACTCTTATTTTTATTACTCTAGTACTCACTTCTGTACTCTAATAATTAAACCCTAAATATTATGATTCAAGGCCTGCTACTTGTCATTAATAATACAATTGTGGCTCATGTGAAATATGCGTTTTGTAGGGATTCTCACCTGAGTTACTTTGCTGGATTTATCACTGGGTTTCAATCCACTGCTAACGATTCTCTTGTCTCCCTTGTCTTCTATTTTGCAGTCATGTTTCTGCAGTACTGGTTTATTCATATCTGCGGGAAAGTATTTTTCATAATGAAGGTATCACTGTCTACCTTAATTTCTGTCTCAAATTTCACAAACGGCAAGTAGAGTTTTTGCTAATGCTTTGGCTCATACTGATCTGCCTCTTTGGGCAGCACAGTACCTACAGTCCCTATGCTTCTATTCCAGTGTGTATGTAAGAGTTGTGGAGAGAATTCTGTAGATGCTGGCAGTGCTGAAGGCATCCAAGCCTGACAGCAGGGGCTTCAGAGATCCACTGCCAGTTTCTTAAACCTCATGGCTGTTGCCTTTTGTTTGTATTTGGTACTGTAAATTTCTATTCTGCTCATTTTTTGTACCCATTTTACTTTTCTTGACAATATCATGTTTTACCTATCCTTAATGATCTCTATAATGATCCAATGCCACCTTCTATAGGCAACATAAAACAAATGATATAGATTTTGCTGATGCTGTTTGAAATCCAGTTTGTTTGACAAGGTTTCCTATTGCAATCATATATAGGTCTTACTTATACTTTTTTTTTTTATACGGACCTTCTTGTCATTCAGGTTGGTAACCAGAGTATGCTTACAGACACCAACTCAAGCCTTTGTAATGGTTTTTGAAAGCTTATTGAGATCAGTGAAGTAAATAAGGCAGTGAGTCATAACTAAATGGTGTTCAGCTGTAGAATAACAGAGTTTTGTAGGGCGGCAATATGTATGAAGGTCACATGCAGGGTTTTATTCAAGCGAAGTTTTACGGTCAGAAATTATAGCCTTATGGATACATCTGCTTTGGCCTTTGGGACTAGATGAATGTAATAAGATTGTCCTTTCCTGGTTGTGGTTTTTTGTTTTTTTATTTTTATTTTTATTTTTGATTGCTATAGAAACCTGTGTAAATCCACAGATGTTATGGACTGCTAAATTTTCTGTCACTTTGTGTAACTTATTTCTTTACATTCCTTACTCTTTCTAGTGCTGTTTATTAATCAATAT